AAAAAAAAAAAAAACGGGTTCCCAACACAGGGGCACCCTCTAAGTCCTCTAATTTAAGCTGTAACAATATTCATCCTACTTATGACCTCACTTTGGCATAAAGGTTGTAAGGATTAGGATTTCGTGAATTACTTGATTTTCCATGGGTTGTTCCGGGAAATCGCCGCAGCAGGGGCTGCAGCCACCTTGGTGGCCTTAACAAGGCTTCAGAATAGTCCAGCCTTTCGGATGCCCTTCGAACCAGAAGAAACCTGCGATTCTCCTTAGATGTCAGCTAGAAAACCCCAACTACAGCTTGATGCTTCATCCTAGCTTGAAATTTCGGAGGGAAGGTATAGGGACACCGAGAAGCCTTGACATGAAGAGCCTCTATAACCTCAGAGTAACACCTGCACAAAACAGCGCTTTTGAAAAGCCTTCCTATGCCAACATGACCCAAATAGTGACCCGGAAACAACTCCCAAAGGCGATGCCAATACAGAAACACTTATCGAAAGTTGGCTTTCCGCATTGATGTTACCTTAAACCCGGAAGAGCAAACCGACAACTCGCTCCTTTTCTTGCTGCAGCTTTTTGGCCTAATGTCGACACCTGCATACTTTGGGTACATGAAAACCAGACGGATTATTGCATGAGTTTCCGGCGTTATTGCCATGTTACGAAATATTTGTGTGCTCTACGGCAGTAGCTCAAAGGGACTATGGGATATAACCTGGTTGAAACTTGGGCTTCCCAACCTCAGACATTGAAAACTACTATAAAGCCCTGATTTCCATCTCGCCTTCCATCTTGCTGCCTGTTGATTCTTGACTGTTGCTATAGTCCCCCTTAAGTATATAGAAAATGGGGTATATGGGGATCTTACTATAATGTACCCAAAGCCATATTCTTTTCAAGGGGGATTGTACCTAGGCTTCAGGCAGCGGCATCAACACCAGGCACTTCCAGCTTTCGCGGCAAGCTGACTTCTCACGGAGGTCCCGATGAAGTTCAACATGAAGGTGTCCTTTTTAGGGTTGAGGCAGGGTTTAAGTGTTTAGGGTTGCGGCTTCAGGGTTAGGGTGCAGGGTTTAGGGTTCTAGGGTTTTGGGTTTAGGAGTTTAGGGTTTCAGGATTTTGTAGCCTAGGTACGGCGGACTGGAGTTCAGGGATTCCTTGACAAAGCCAGGGATATTGATAGGGAATTACAATGTGAATGTCGGGGCCCCCCTTCCGGATGACACAGGTACCACTTGAAGAAACCCCCACTCGGGAATTTCGGGTTGTTTGGGTTTGGAAGCTTGGAAACCCTAAACCGCCTAAAATCCTGCAACCATTCCTTCATCCCTAGACCCTGAACCCTAAACCCTAACCCATTACAGTCGCTTACGTTTTCTCTTCCATTCCTTCGATCCCAGCTAACCAGAGGCCAGTAAACCCTTAACCCTAAACCCTATGCAACCCCTGCATAACCCCTATATAACCATCCCTACATAATCCCTATACAACCCGTGTATAGGGGTTCCCCCAAACACTGGGCCTAAGAACTGGTTGCGGTCAGAGATGCCACGAAAGGGTTGTGGAGCTAGGACCGGTGTAGGGTTTAGTATTTTATAGTCTGCCTTAAGTAGATAGAATATGGGGTATATGGGGATCTTACTATAATATAACCAACGCCATATTCTATCTACTTAAAGGGGACTAGGGTTTAGGGTGTGGGCTTGAGGGCTTAGGTTGTAGGGTTTTGGGTTCAAGGGCTAGGTTGGCTAGGTCAGTCCAGTATAAAATGGACAAAAAGCGACAACAGTGCAAGCCTTTTTCCCCCGAACTCTCCTAAATTCCCTATAGCCCTCGACCGTCATGTCAAGTAGTCTGATATAAACTGGTCGTCGCTTGAATGTCTCGCTCACATACATAACTGTACATATACAGACAATAAACAACTAGGATTCAGGGCTTTGGGCTTAGGAAGTTTGGAGCTACGGATAAATGGGGGGGGGGGATCACAAAATCAGGGGTGCCATTAAGGGGGGGGACCCCCTATAAAAAGGATGCTAATATTTTGAGCGTCTATATTTGGGTCCCCTATTCTCGGAAACTACCGAATGAGCAAATACATCCAAGAAACATGTGCATAGTCATCATGAAAATCATTGCTTTAATCAATACTAATGGATTTCGTGATTGCCCTGAAGCCCTAAACCCTAAACCCTGAAACCGAAACCCTAAAACCTAAACCCTAAAACCTAAAGCCTAAACCCCAAAACCATGACCTATGCAAAGCATGGTCGCTACGGGGCCGCAACATTAAAAAACAACTTGACCTGACTGAACTTCCTTGCTGGTGCTTGAGACGGGGTGGATTGAAGGATCCACACAACCACTCATAGTCCCCTTTTCGCTTCCCCACTCAACCCGCAAGCAGCAGCTGAAAGTCCCTTTTGATGCCCACCGCATGCTGTACACTGTGCATCACATAAACAGGCGCAGGTTGGGTTTATCAAGGGGTCGACAAGGGCCCCTCAGAGGAGCCACCAATCCCAATAGGCCCCAAAAGGCCCGGATGTCCCCGAATACCGGGGGTTTAGATTTTGCGGGAGGCTCCTATTGGGGGGACCATATCAACCATATGAGATGAGGAGCATTCCGACTGGGGCACTTGGTTGAGACCTTGCCCAGAGACAGCCGCCCTTTGCATGTTCTGGAAATCTGTCGGCGACTCACAAAAACACCTAAGAACTACACCGGGAAACCATAATCCAAATTCCTAAACGGTGGGTTCCCCTCAGAGTCACCCATCTGTAATGTCAACGTCATCAACCAACTGCCTAAATTTCAACATCAGTTGACAACAGTTATGCCTAGACCATCTTTCAGGTCTACAACCTACCTTTGTTCTGAGCAAAAGCCCTAATCAAATGCTATGTCGTAAGTAGTGTCCATTTCATGTCATTCATTTGACTCTCCCTTATCCCTGTAGATCCCTACATGCTAACCCCCATATAAAAGCTCCCCAAGCCATCTAATCACCCTTAACCCTAGACCCCAAACCGCGGAATCTAATCCGAAGCGTCTGGTGTTCTCAAGGCAACCTTTAGAATCCTTCTGCGACCACGCCCTTGTGCATAGGAGGCAAAAAATAATGAGAATCATGATCATAGCAAAACAATGTAAAAGATGTGTATATATATATATTCCGCAAGCCCCCTAGACCTACAACATAAACATGAGCTTTAATAGCTCCTCAGGGTTCTACTATAACACGAAGAATAATTAATGAGGAGACTACAAGAGTAAGGTAGACTTCTCAAGCCCTGACCGTCCCCTGAGGCTTAGGGTGTAAAACGCTAAGATGCGCCAAATACCTCGAAACCCCAGAACCACCGTTAAAGAATCTGCTCAGCCAAGCCCACCCCAAAATGCCTCAACCCTAAACCCTAAACCCCTAAACCCTAGACTCCAAACCAAAGCTGAGCAAGTCCCCAGTCGCCAGGCTCTGTACACTGCACCGTATGCGGTCTAAGCTCCGGAGGGGAGGGACAACATGAAATTGGTTATGGGGTGTAGGGTTAAGTCGGTCAAGTGTGTAGGATGCGCAGGGCTTAGGGTTTTGGGTTTTGGGTTTAGGGGCAGGAAGCCATGGAAAAGCAACTGGAAAAGGACATTGACACTTGGCTTTATATGGACATCGAGGAGTTTTTTGGTTGAGCCAAAGCAGCTTCCCAAAATTGGGGATCCCTGACAAACCCGCACAATCTGAGAGTCTCGGGGAGACTCCTACTTCGAATCCCACCCTAAACCCTAAATAGTAGTTTCCATGTTCTTTTCCCTGGTCCCTATATAACCTTATATAACCCCTATATATCCCCTATATTCCCTACATAACCCCTACATATCCCCTATATTCCCTACATAACCCCAATCTATCCCCCATATTCCTTATATAACCCCTACATATCCCGTACATTCCCTACCCTAAACCCTAAACCCTGAACCCCAAACCCTAAACATAACCTCTAAGAATAATGCCCCGCCGTGCCGGGCTCAGGCGGCTTTCCGGCAAGCCTCGCAGTATTTGGCCACAGCCACAGCGCCCAGGGCCCCGGCTCCGAGCATGCCGACGTCACCTTAGTCCTGGGGGTTATAAAGGGAATATAGGGGATATGTAGGGGGTTATATAGGGAATATAGGGGATATATAGGGGTTATATGGGGAATATAGGGGATATATGGGGGTTACATAAGGTTATATAGGGATAATGGAAAAGAAAATGGAAACAACTATTTAGGGTTTAGGGTGGGGTTCTAAGTAAAAGTCTTCAAGGAAGGAAGAGGATCCTTGTTGCAATAGTAATCTCCTCCCCTACATAATCACAAGCCCTGCTCACCCCCCAACCCCCTACAATAAACAGTATGAATTAGCATATATAATGAGGGGATCTGTATTGTTGATGGGGGGGGGACGGCTTGTTAGCGGAGGAGGTGATGACAAGCAAGCGCCGCTGCAAAAAAAAACATAAAAAGATCCCTAACCTTGACCCAGTCACGTGTTGTGAGCCAGCTCCTTGGCTGCGTTTAAGGCTTAGGGTTTGCACACTGGGGTTATATTGGGATAATGGAAAAGAAAATGGAAGCTACCGTAGTATATTGGGGTTATAGTTGGAGTCCCGAACAGCATGCAGCAATTTTGCTCACGCAGGGCTAATGGTTTAGGGTTTAGGGTTTGGGGGCCAGATTTGAAGGTTCAAGTCTGGGAGCTAATAGGGGTAAGGGAATATAATCTCTGCTGTGTATGCTTTATATATTCTATTCCAATATTCCCTACTAACCAACCCTAAACCCTCAACCCTAAACCCTGAACCCCAGTCAGCTTAGGGTTTATCTCTCCTAGGTTGTTGTTGAATAGCATCTTAGGGTTTCGTTCTTCATGGGACATAATAAATATATTGTAGACCCTTCATTTTGTCAGTTATAGCACCTCAAGAATATTCAAGTCCTGATGCAGACCTTGCCAATGGCCCCTCAAAGACTACCGTCCAGTAGCCGGGGCGGAACACAATTAAACCTTCGCCCCCGAACTCTCCGTCTTGCTACAAGAACCCAAGATGTTGTGTTGTAAACTTCCACCCTAAACCCTGGATCGTCTGTATAGCTCGGGTAAGCCTCCGCCTATCATAAACTCATGTCTCGGATGTTCCTGGGATTAATTTCCAATTATTTTGGACCATAATCCTTACATATTCCCCACAAAGCCATCAAAAAAGCATGGTTCCTTCATATCGCAGTCCCCTTCCTGCAGCGTAACCTTCAGAAGCTGGCAAGCTCAGAATCTCCCAATCCAAGGTTGGAAGTGTGGTCCTCCAAGATGCATAATTAATTATTGGCCCCTGGCCATTTACTAACCCTAAACGGTAAGCCCCACACCCTTTAGGGTAAATATGGGCGCGCCTGTCATGCAAAGACCACATCTTTTATGAAAGAGAAACCTTGATGAGACAACCACGTTAGCCTCCTGCATACGCCAATTGGGAATGCCAATGTATGTGAGGTGCCGCGCGTAAATTTCATTCAAACTAATTCGGCCAGTTGTGGGAGTCCCCTGAAACATTTCGGGAAATAAACCCCAGATCCTAACCCTAAACCCTAAACCGCCAAATCCTAGGCAAGGGTCAGAGGTCCAAGGGCTCTTTGGAGCCAGGCGTTGAGCCTCTCCTTGTTCAGGCTTTTGGAGTTCAGTGGATTAGACCCTCAAAATAACATGGAAGCCCAACAGAGGCGCTGCTGTCCTTCTCAAAAAAACATTATCTGAGCCCTGGTCTAGAATCTTAGTATCCCATTTGATAACACCTAGAATACTCCCCTATATAATCTCCTATATATCCCCCATTTAAGGACTTTAGACTATAGCTCATCTGGGAGGGCATGTACCCTCAACCCTAAAAACCCTGAACCCTAAACCCCTACTTTGGGGGAATGTAGGGTTCGGGGATTCAAGAGCAAAAGGTGCGGAGAGTGAGGTGATAGTCACAATTCCAGGCTGCAGGTGCTAGATCTGGGAATGGGGTTTAGGGTTTAGGGTTTAGGGTTGAAGTTGATGGTTTCACGTTTAACTTAATGGTGCTTAGTAGGGAATACAATCCCTACATAATCCGTATAAAATATGTGCCCTTATTCCCTACTAACACCCCGTAAAGTAAAGTAATGTTGAGGGTTTCAGGGTTGCAGGCTTGGCAAGCCGCGTGTGTTGTGCTTGTGACAGTGGTTCAGGGTTGGGGACCTAACTAAACCCTAAATCCAGCTGTGGGCTCGAGCTACGCTTGCCGTGCACTCCGATCACCCTGGAACTACCTGGACCTCCAAAGTATGTGGTTTAGGTTAAGGTTTAGGGTGGCTCCTGAAGTATGTAGAATCTGTGGCTTTCTGACTGGTTTAAGGCAATTCGGGTTTCAGATTGCCGCCGCAACACGTATTTCTCAGAGCTCCAACACCCTGGCCTAAACCAAGCCGTTGATCCAAATCCTGAACTTGAGGCTTCGCAAAAACCCTCCCTAAGCTTTGAGATCCCTGCTCAATGTGCACTGCAAGAATATACCTTCTCGTTCGAAACCCAAGCCTTCAACCAAAAGACCTTAAATCCTAAACCCTGGGCAGTGGGTGCGTGGTTGGTCTGGAAACGTACGCTGGACGTAGGCACGCACTACAACACACATCACCGCGGGGCGGTCCGCGTTGTAAGTTCGCAAGCCCTGAACCCTGAATCTTGAAGCCTACGTCCCAAAGTTCAAGCCCTAAACCTTGAACCCTTATATGAATCATAGTCTCAACTCCTAGTATCCCCTTTGTAACCCCTGTAGTAGTCCCCTACAGAATCCCCTATTTAACCCGCTTTTAGAGTTTAGACCCTAAAACCTAGATGACCGCCTTTGAGGAGTTTAGACTGTAGCTTATATGGTAGTTCCCTAAACAAAGGGACCCCAATATAATATAGACCCCAACATACTATAACCCTTATTATGGGGACCCCCCAAAACCCACAACCCCATTTTGGGAAACTCCCATATATGCGTTTATTGCAGCCGGGGGTCCTGGAGGGTGACATCTTTGAATCCTCGGCAAGGTCGGCTAGGGCTTGAGCTGTAGGGCAGGGTTTAGGTTTAAGTTTAAGGCTTAAAGTTCAGGATTTTGAGGCTTCTAAGGCTTAGGGTTGGGGGCTTCAGTGGCTAAAGAGGGGCTATACGTTCAAGGTTTCTAGGCGTCAGGGTTTCCAGGTGTGCAATCGTGGGCGTAAGATTCCACAGGTTAAGGGATTAAAGGGTTCTGGTGTTCAGGCCAGTGCTGTTCGATCGAAAACTCTGGGATTGTGAGTCTAGACCAGTCAGGGGTGGCTATGACACACATGATCGGACGATTGTATAGCAGCGTATCGGGAAATCTGAAGCTTCTGCGAAGTCCCCTTCCGCGATCCTTGAGACCTAAACCTTAAACCTCCGCCAAGCTGCCTCCAACCAGAAATCAGCAAACAGCCAAAGGTATCACAAAGACCGCCTAATCCCATAATCTGTGGTAAGCTCTTGTAATTCTTCTACAGAGGCCCCAGCAAGCAGAACGTGGCTTGGGGCAGTTCACAAAAGAGACATTGGAGTTGGAAAGGCATACAGACATAGCTACAGGTAGCCAGGTTGCTACACTTAGGCCTGAATTCAGCGCCATAGATCTTCAGGGGTTAGGGTTTAGGGCGCGCGCGCGCATGTGTGTGTGTCTATATATATATATATGTACATGTGTGTGTGTATGTATGGGTGTATATATATACACACGTTAATATATGTATATATTTAGATGCACATTAAGATATGCATAAAGTTATATAATCGGCAACGACCCCTAGACTCTCCAGATAACTGTCCACAAAAGTGCGAGTTGATGTCTCATGCTGATGCTCGTGCTGCTGGTAGAAGCGATTGATGTGCCGATGGTTCTGGTGATGAGAATTCCGAAAAGTTGGCAACACCTGATCGCATGGACTGGGAATAACCTGGGTCAGCCTTACTTACAGGTCTGGGCCTAGGCAAGACCAAAGAGCTCTAAAGCTTGTAACTGTATTTGTATCAGTCACTACTTAGGAGCTCATCAGCTTATCTAACAACGCCTGCAGACTCAACACACATGATAGCGCAGGTCAGTTAAGAACAAACCTGCCTCGTGGCTCTCGAAATCATAAACCTTGGTGTAGAAGTGGCGCCGGTGTGGCCCTTCAACTGGCCAGTCAGTCATCTCGGCAAATGCAGCTTCTGCCTCTCTGACACCTTCATGCTCATCAGGATGCATAAGCCCACGACGAGGACGGTCATAGCGCGGTGGCGCCGATGCCCTTTCCGCATCCTGCCCAGAGTCTGCAACCGACTGAGAAGGCTGTTCCGAAGCCATCTCACCTGCAGCACCCTCCTGAACCTCCTCACGGTCCATGATTGGCAAGGCATCTGGGGGCCTGTAGGGGGCGGCTACATGCAGGTGGTAATGAACTTGGTACACCCGACCGAAGTAATTATTGCTGATGTGGCGGTGGGTGTGTGTGTGTGTGTGCGTGTGCTGAAAGTGGTTGTAGTGACGGTGGTTTTCGTGGAAGTGAGTGAAGTGCGTCCTGTGGTGATACTGGCGGTGGTAGTTGTAGATGTTGGTGTACGCGTTCATGTGGACCCAACTTGGGCGTGGCGGTGCGCCGGCGGCAACATGCTGGTCCTCCGACAGAGAACCATCTGAATCCATCACACCATCAGTGGAGTCGTCATTGGCAGGGCTATCCCCTGACTCTGACTGCATGGCAAACATTATTTACAACTCCTCAACAGTGACTTTGTTTTGTGAACAGAAAGGGGCACGAACCACTGCAGCACACTTCTCCGACACGTAACCGGCGCAAGCATGAGTCACAAGTCATAAGTCATAAGTTTTAAGTTATAAGTCATAAGGGGCATAAGTGGGCCATACATAAATAATATTATAAAATCGTATTAATCCTGAATCATAAGAAATAAGAGTCAGAAGTCCCAAGTCATGAGATTGAGCATGCAGCATGAGTCATCCACTTCTGGACTTACTAGACTGGACGGCGGAAGGCCAAAAACACTGCAGAATCTGCGCAAAGCTCATAGTCCCCCCTTAACTTGATAGAATATGGGTAACGCAGTCCTTGTACCATCCGCACAATGGCCTGACCAAGGGCCTATACATCCTACATGAGCCATAATCTAAACTCCTAGTATCCCCCTTCATACTCCCTATAGTGGTCCTCTATATGGGTGGTTGTCAAAATTATGGTCCCATTTTGGGTCCCCAGTATAGTACGGCCCCTAATATTTAGGGTACCCAAAAAGGGACCATAATTTTGACAACCACCCATATAATCCCCTATATAACCCCCTGAAGGAGCTTAGACTATATAGCCTACATAGCCCAGATCGTCCGCCCTTTCAGGTTCTCAAGGCCTAGGCTTTCAACCCGAAACAGAGAGCCGAAGACCCCTGAATCCGGGAATACACCTTTAGGATCGAAGGGTTTAGGGTTTGGGGCTTAAGGTTTAGGATTTAGGGTTTAAGGTTTAGGGTTTCGGGTTTAGGGCTTAGGGTTTAGGATTTAAGGCATCATATTCATGCATATTCCTTCATTAAGGGGTATTGGACCCCCTGGGAACCCTAAACTTTAGCCAAGGCACCGAACCAAAAGCCAGCGCGGAAGCGTGGTGCAACCACTGGAGCCTCTGGCGTAGTTAAGGCTCAGGGACTCAAGGGCAATAGTGCGCGGTCAGTCATTTGATTTATAAACACACCAAATCGTTTTGGAGTTCTTGTGGGGGGTGAGCCCTAAACCAAAAACCCTCACTTTGGGATATTGACAATGGAATCAGGGTCATTCTGCAGGCCCTTCCCATTTGAGATGTAAGGTGTACGGCTAGGACGAAGGTCAATGGGCCTGGGGTTTGGGGTTAAGGGTTGAAGGTGCTGCTTTGAGTCTTGGGGCTATCATGGTTCATTTTTCCTCCAGTGGCTTGTGTTCAAGGCTAATCCTTGCTTGGATGATAGCTCTAAACGCTTCCCTCAAACACGGCGAATCGAAACCGTAAACCTCAAACACTGCAACAGTAAACGCTCAACATTCAAAGCTTAGCATCATCACCCTGAATCATTTACCAACACGCGGCTGGCCAACACAAAGAAAAACTTAATCCCGCGCAACGAAGCACAAACCCTAGATCCTCAACCCCAACGGCCCCAACGTGACACTGCTAACGCCCTTCTCCCTGAAACAAAACCTGAAAGGGCCAAACTAGAAAACCCAATAAACCCCACATGAGGCTGTAGTCTAAACTCCTACTATCACCCCCTTAATAAGCCCCTACAATAGTCGCCTATATCATCCCATATATTACCCCCTTTAGGGAGTTTAGACTTTAAATCACATGAGGCAAGACTAAGCCTGGGAACCTCTGGCTGGAAGCCTGAATAATTCAAACTTCAGCTTCTTTTCAGCTCTTTATGGTTTAGGGTTTAGGATTCAAACTTCAGCTTCTTATCAGCTCTTTATGGTTTAGGCTTTAGGATTCAAACTTCATCTTCTT